AAGCAAAGGTAACGATCATAGAATAAGATTCTCTGTACGAACGTAAAGAAAGGAGTGGAGGGGAAACGTTAAACAGTCAGGCTCGTTGCAAAAAATGTACATTACGTTTATTGATGGTAGCTCGCGAAGCTCCTCGTGAATATCGAGTGGATTACAAAGAGGCGCTTGATTTAAAGGGTCGAGTAAATTTACGTCGCAACACGTGATACGATAATACACGACCGTCCACCCACAAGGACTCCGATCGTGCGGTTTTCGTGTTTGTTGCTTCCTTTCGTTTCATTTCATTTCTTTCTTTCATTTTTACTTGGAAACAAGGAAAATGTCCGTGTACGGACTATAGAAATTGCTACGAAGATGTTCCTATTGTTCGTCTGTGCTTTCGATCTCTCACGTTTTGTCCTTTCTTCGATCATCTCTCCCCCGTCTCGATCGAAGAGACAAGGAGGGATGAATTAACGGGCTTTCTGGTACCGGAGAAGGGGGGATGGATACACGAAATATTAATATTCTCGTCCGACTGAATACAGGCAAAATGCTACAGGCTTGGTAAGGACAGTGACCGTTTATATTATTACTCTGTGGTAATATATTCATAGCTATATGTGTGTAGGCGCGCGTGTGTATACGCACGACACGCGCACACACACATATACATATATACTTCTCAACGTACAAACTATATCGTACCTTAATAACTTCTAACGCAATGGGGTACAGGGGTAGTATTTACACAGCCTATGACCATATAATAATGGTCCAGGATTACACGATATCGTTTCAAAGAGGTTATGGATCACTGACGATCAGTTAACCTCTTTGTTTTGGGTCGAACGTGACAATACGCGATCGTTAACGGTGTGACAAGTATTTTCACATTCCTATCAACTAGTTATCAACATTTATACATAATACAACCAAGTTCCTCGCACGCACGCACGCACTCTCAGCCCCACTCGTAGGATTGCGTAACGTTTTACCTCTTTTCTCGTTCGATCCTCTTCGATAACTCGATCCGAATCATTCATCTATATAATACGTGTGTATATGTGTATGTGTGTATGAAACAAATCACCGCGCGAATCTACTACATTAGTATAGTTTTCAATGAAAATACTTTCTCGACAGTGACACTCTTATGGAATAACCTCTCAATCACTCTCAGTTTCTCTCAGTCAGTTATAGGTCAGATAAAAACACTACGAAGACATACAACTTGTTTAAATAACAGCGTGTAAAGGATAGAATTTTCAGATTTGTACTTGGAAATTATACGAACGCGTTTCAGTAAAAAAGAACAATTTTATCTCGATGCTTCTGCTTAACCGCTATGTAATAATAAATAAGAGAACGAGGTTCTTTCTTTCTTTCTTGTTTTTAGTCGGACTCGATAAAAATACCCTGACGCTGCACATTCCTACCGTGATCGGGGTTGCACCGCTGTGTGTGATTCCGAATCTTTCGCGCGCGAAGAAACGCTTCCCGCCGCGAACGATTCTCGGTTTCTCGTCGGACGTCTTATACGCGTCTACATAGTTTTACGTTCCGAGAATCTCCACCAGTCAGCTACTATCTAAATAAAACACCAGTGTGCCGATATACAATTACGCGGAGCGACGTTCTTCGTTATTCTTATCGCGAACGTTTCTTCGCGCGTAAAAACGCAAAAGGACGCAAGGTGACATGGCACGATACCTTAATCATTAAAACAAAAAAGAAGAGGGAACGGATCGATAGAACCGTGTTTTAAAGCCCTTTACACTTGAAACGTTTTACATTTTTTTTCCTTAAGTCGTCATGATGACTTTCCCACTCGTCAAGATTAAAATAAAGACGTGTCGAAGAAAGGGATCCTAATTCGCTTGTTTCACATACGTATTTACATGACGCCTGTAAACGGACGCCCAGAGACTGGGATAACTAATTAATATAATTCGCGGATTACGCGTATCGCACTAACGATGCGGTGTTGTTCGTCGATAAAATAGCTACCAATTCTCAAGCTCGTACTTCAATCAATCGACAACTTCGTATTTATTATAGACACGCCTTGTGCGATCAATTCTTTGCTCTGAAGTTGGCGCAAATTATTTACGTTCATTGGCTTGACTTTCAAAGATGATGTATAAAACTAGATTTCATGTATTGCACTTTGAATCGTTTGAAAGTAAAGAAACGTCATTGTTATCGGAAGAAACGTCATAGAAAATACTATTTTATTGAAAGTAGGCCTTGGTCTTGTTTGAAATTTCATTCTTTCAAAGAAACGACCAAAAACCGTCAGCAATGCAGTTCAGTTTTCATGTAACGTTCAAAAGAACTAAATTCCCTAGGAAGTTCAAATAAGTTGCATTTTTGTGCAACAAAAGACGAGTCTATGATATGTAGTTTTAATATGTGCGCGTCTATTTTCATACGAAGTTCAATACGAGCCTTCTAACGATGCAAAAAATTGACAAACTTGCTTCGTTTGAATAGCAACGCACTTCATACAACGGTCAATGCACGATGCCCTTGGAGCAAGTGCACACCTCGTATCTGTATGCCATTATATTAAAATAAGAATATAAAATTATAAAACTATCAACAAATGTACACAATAGTAGAAAAGTCTTGAAAATAATAAAATTCCAAGGAAATGGGGAAGAACGCTATCGACTTTCGGGGTCTGCATCGAAATTGTTTCGAAAGTTTTTGCTCGTCAATTTCATATCTGTTACAGTTTATACTGCTTGAGGCTTTCGGGTGTAAGCCACATTCAACAGGATAAGTTTCTCAACGTTTCGCCAGCGTTGCAGCTAGTTTCATCACGCGAAACATTAGGAAACTTATCCTAATGGGCACAGCTTACACTCGAAAGCTTTAAAACTTTCATTTCGTATCTGTGTTTGTGAACAGCCGTAAATAGGCCATGATAATTTACACGTTACCAATATTTCACTTACTTGTTCGTATCATTTCTTTTTAGTTATAGTTTCATCTATAGTAATAATTGAACAATTCAGTCAAAGAGTAAAAACATAAAGATAACGAATGAAAAAGTAAAAATTGGAAATCTTTGATTCGAGCAATTCTAACCCGAAAGTCGATTATTGCGATAGCGTTGTCGATCTACGTGGTTTGAGCTTTAGCCGAGACCAGTTTCACGACGAGAACGCGTTTGTGCATTAAAAAAGTAAAAAAGGAGGGAGAAGAAAGTTAGCGCGTAAATTTTTGGCGCGTACTGTTCACCAATTGTTCGTAATTCGAGGGTAACTTTTCCATATTGACTAAAGTCAGAAACCGCGGAATGAGACGCATCAATACTAGCTACTTCGACAGCACTTTCGCTTGAATTCTTTGTCCCACTGTATATCAGATTTCTTTCTTTCTTAAATATCGTCCAAAAAAGAGGCGTTCTAAATAGTTTCTTTCTTTGTTTCTCTTTCAAATATATCACCGTTTGTTATAAACGACCTAAAACCCTGAGATGCGAATTCGCCTTACTGCGATTAATCTTTCCTATGGAAAAATTGGCCAAGTTAATCTGGTTTCCGAATGGTTTTTCAAAGTGTACCCTCTCAGCACGCAATAAATCGTTCTCTAAACTTTACAAAGTCAAAAATATACGCGTTACAACATTGTGTCTATTATTTCATAAGACGAAAAAGAGGTAAACATTTAATGGACGCTTTTGTTTAAAAAAAAAAAAAGTGTACGTTTTCGGAACAAATATGAGACCAAGTGTTAAGTTTATTGCGTGCTGCTGAATATAATATAAATACTCTAACGTATAAAAGGGCGGTGTTGTGCGCGACGCAGCTAAATACGATCAAACTCCTTAACGACTTGGAACCGTTCTCGGTCACGCTTCCAAATCGATTCACATCGAAATCGTTGTACGATACCAACAACGTATACAAATTATTCCGAACGAAATTCCATAAAAATTAGATAGTCAGAGCGATAGCGAACTGTATGTGCTTTCTCAGCGTCAATACGTTAGAAAAAATGTCGACAGTTAAAATTTTTTACGTTTACAATATGATTACGTATGATTACGTAAGCTAATCGTTACTTTACGTAGTAAAAAATCGTTAAGCTACACGAGTCTACGATAAATTGTATCAAATTGTTTTCCTTTTACTTTTCTCTAATAGACATCAGATACTTGTGTGTGTATACCTGTAGTTCGCGGAATAATCGTCCACTTTTCATTCACGAGAGCGTGATAGAACTCGCCCTCGTTAGAGTTTACGTCTCCGTTAAAAAAAACTTCTCCCATTTTTCCACTTGTAAAAAAGCTCACTACCGTTCTGATGTCGTTGATAAATAATGAATGGTACTATTCGTCACTTTAACATTCAGGTAATACAATGTATAAAAGCACGATTTTAGCGAAAACAGCTGAGTCGTGTCTGAGCTGTACATACTTGTCGTGGCAGTCTGTAGTTCGAAGGTATTCGAGATTATATTTTTGCGCATTTTTAGTTACTCCTTCGCTGCGGATAGTTCGTTGGTACAATACGTAGAGTTACGTAAGTCTTGTTAACCCTCTAAGCATCAATAATGCGCTGTGCGTATCGTTTCAATATTTTTTTCACTGTTTCGTGTAGAATTTAATCGTCATTGGTGACTTTTCGGACTGTTGTATTTTTGTTTTCCTTGTCAAAGTTTCACGTAGAAAACGGTTCATTTTGTATCGTCCCCGCTTGTGCATCTAAAAGTTGTTCACACTTACCACTTCTAACGTGGAAAGTGAAAAATTTCAAGTTTCAAAGTGCAACAAACTTTCTCACTCCTTTCAATGCATCAACGCGACGAAAAGATTTGAGTACACGCGTGTTCCTCTCTCCGAGGAAAAATATAAATTGTTTAGGGACGACGTTCGCTTTAAAAATACGTAGAGTCCTCGTAATATATTCCAGTTTCTTCTCCACCGAGAAATCGTCTTCCTTAAGGAAGGATAAAAATTTGAAATGCAGCTTGCGACTTCGAGTCGAGAGCAGCTATGCGTCGACATGGGAGTAGAGGCAACAACGTGACTGGAAAGTACGATACCAGTCTCGCGTCGTTCACTATGTAATGCATTTGCCGCGTCCTCCGATATCGCTCACATATTATACGCGACGTAGATGGGGTCGAGTTGGTCCGCTAGGAAACCATCACGCAAGTGCATTCGTTGCTTCTCGCCACGCGAATTTATCGGTACCACTCCTGGATCCACAACGACCACCACACCAACTACCAGATGGTGTTCTTCGAGAACCGCGCTGGTAACCAGTGCTACGAGATCTAAAGCTTCGCTTTCGCTCCCGTCCAGTTCCACCACTACTACTAGGAGGTTGGTCCATGTAAATACGGCACTGTGAATCGTACAAACGTTATTGTTTACAATCAAAAGGGGAATACAGTGTTATTGATATTCCTACTATTATTATCGTTCCAGGAGATATCATTTACTCACCATTCTGCTATCTTTTTGTGACACCTCATTACGCTATTCTCAATGTCAATCGGGTGGTATCGCATTCCCCTGAGCAGAATAGCTTCGTCGAGGGCGCCTACTACAAACACAGCATCGTGTAATTCAGCGTCACCAGGAACGAGGTCCGCTTCAGCGGAAGTGTCACCGGGAATGTCACTGATAACCGACTGTTGAACGCTCTCGGTACGTCTTAAGAAACCAAGATAGCCGGTTCTTGCGTAAACCTCGTTCGTGTTTCCTGTGACGAGGCGAGCGTTGAAGTGATCCGCGTAATCGCTCTCGTCACCGTATATTGTGAAATAGCCGCTGGCATTGTGAGCAGATTGCACCCAAATTTCGCCTAAATGAGAATCTCCACACTGTCCTTTCGTTTCTGGATTAGCGATGATCACTTTCACTCCAGGGAGTAATTTGCCTGATTCCATCAGGCACAAGGAGTGTGGACTACCTCGTTCGACCAGAGACACTCGGTCGTTGCGCAATGCACGAAGATCAACGTATACTGTGGAAGGTTCTGGACTCGATGCTCCCTGTTTCGAGAATATCATTTAGCGTGTAGCTGAAGAAAACTCTAAGACCTTTTATTAAATGACATTTTAAACGAAAGAGAAAAGTTGTATTTTCATTAAACACAGTGAGGTGCAAACCTGTAAGCAAATAGCTGTGTTTACTCTACATCCAAAGGACGTCGAGACAGCACGTGGACTGAGTCCCAAAGCTGAGAAGAGTTTACTGAAGCTCGTTGTTAGAGCGATTCGCGGTCTCTCTTCAGCTACAACCACGCACGTTCTGACACAGGCCAAACTAACTCCTCTCGCTTTCAGAGCGTGAACAGAAGAGCCAAGACCCTTTGTGCACAGCTCCATCACACCGTAAGAACAAAACGTGTCTCTCACTCTGGACTGACTAACCGCTGACAACCATAACGCTGGATTAGCCTCCACCTACAAAGAGAGATATTAAAATATGTCCCCTTTTATTCACGAACCGCCTATAGGGAGAGGAAACGAACCTCCGACGGCGGTATAAGTATGGAATGATGACCGCTGTATATACTGCTCAAACACCAGAGAGCGAATCCCAATCCAGAGTAAGGATCCAGGCACAGAGCGATGTGTCTAGATGGATACAATTCACAGGCAAGTTTCATGGCACGACACAGAGACGTCACAGCTGCATGGGACATTTTAATTCCGGCAAGCATGCCCGTAGTCGAGACGCTGAAATCCAAATATGCCAGCATCTCCGCAGTGGGCGCTCGATACATAACAGGTAGCTTCTTCTTTGGCATGTCGTCCATATCGAGAATCGTCGGCCAACTCTTAATGTCCACGACATTGTTCGCTTCCTATAGTATCAATACGTAATAATTATAATCACTCGTTAAGAAAAGAAGAAAAATAATTTAACGCTTTAACCGCACACTCCTCTCCCGAGCAAGACATCAGAAATTCAGTTTAATTAACAAGACATTGTTCAGGTTGAGCAGTTAAAGGGTTAAAGACACGACATCGACCGAATAGATATACATTTATATATATACATATAGGTATATAAAAACACATGACACGTTCATGTACCTTTGTCTTCAGCAGTTTCAGGAGATTCTGATTCGTGAGCACGAGCACAGACTTACTCACGTCCACGATCATGCGAACAGTTGGTAAAGTGGTTTGGAGGTTTTGCGGATGAGGTGGCCTAATTGTAACTGGCACGGCTCCAACATACAAGCAACCATAAAACGCGCATATCAAGTCTGTACCAGGAGGAAATATTAACGCCACGTGGTCCCCTGTATTGATCCTTCCACGGTCTAACAGCAAATTCCCGATTCGTTCGGCCTTCTTGTGCAATTGCGAGCAAGACAAAGAGGTTGCTACCGCTCCCTTCGCGTTCAGAGACGTGAAAATCACGTGATCGGAGGTACTGACTGCACGCCATCGTAGGATCTCTGAGATGAACTGATACTGGAAATTGAAAACATGGAAAATGTGGTGAGTAAGCGGAGAAACAGAAGGGTGGTGTATAAGATGAGATATTGGTACGTGATAGAAATTTTACCTTTTTAGCATTATCACTATCCTCGTCCAAGACACCCATGTCTCGTCCTTGAGCCGAGGCCAGTCTATTACCCTGAACAATGTTGCCCACCATCACACTGGCCGGACCAACGTCTGCAACAGAATCCCCCGCTACACGCCCCCGCACCATTCCGTTAGTAAACCAACACAAACACTCAACCCAATAATGAGTAGCTCACACACTCTCCCCTGACTGAGGCCGGAAAATCAAAGCTAGGTTCGTGAACTGGTTCGTTATTGTCGAAAGGTGATTAATACGCACGTCCTATATACAAGACGTGCTCCGAGCATTCCATTGAACTGTACATACTTAATGAACAAAATAATTCGGTGCTTCTCCAAAACGTACACGACACAATAGCGATGTGAAATTTAATCGAAAGCATACTCGCGTGGAAAATAGAATGCAACATTGATGAGAAGATTGTAATCTTCCCCCCCTTTTTTTTTTCTTTTTGGAATAGTGATAGAAAAGATCGAGAAGAATCTCACATCGCTAAAAAGTAACTTTGTCTATAGGCTTGGACCAACTACAGGGTGTTCGGAACTCAGCCAAAAGAAAGAAGGGCAAAAATAATAGAAAATCATGCTAAGCATTAAATATAATATTTTAGTGTTGGGCGGGTTAACAATACATGATATGTAGCAAGAGACAGTTATATACTTTGTACATTTGTGCTAAGTTACTAATAAATAAGCCTACTGATGACTTTGTAAGAAAAGCGTAAGTGTTAACGTCCCATCGCGTTAATCCGAATTTCTTTCTTCGTCGAACAGAGCGAATAAAACGTCTGTGATCGCGGAATTAATCGTAAAGAACTGCTCATTCATTCTCCCAATAATCATTCTCATGTACATCTTAAGCGAAACGATCCAAAAAAATTGGTAATATATCCATCGACGCGATACAATCTTCGCTCTCTTTCTTCGACAACGTCCAACTTGGCAATTCTTCTACCAATTTCATGGGTCTTCGCTTAAATCAACAATACGTAAAGAAAAGAGAGAGAAAATAAAGAAACGTAGTAATGTTACAACGAAAGAAAAAGAGCGTATATACGTCTTTGTACTTGCTGACATTCATGTAATTCATTGAAAGTCCGTATTTTCTATTAATCGAGGCACCTGGTTCGGGGATAGTACTCACACGTGAATGTGCAATCGCTTACCTGAATGGACTTCGCGTGGTTTCGGTAGATTGGTAACGCAAGTGTGCGGACAAAGAAGAACATTAGCCGGGTGTAGGGTACCCTCTAGGAAACGTCGTTTCGTTTCCGACAGATGAATACCGCCCAACGGTGTTTTCGGCAGATAATTCGGCGGGACCAAAGCGAGACAATATATCCCGACAGCGTGGATAGAATCAACAGCTTGAAGCACTCGGGACATCCATTGGAAACTCTGAAAAATCCGTACACGATCGTCGAGAGTTTCTATAAATAAATAGCAGGGTTGTTAAACGGAATAAGAAAAACACGCGTACTTCTTCCTCGCTGCAATCGGGTCGTTGCTCCGCGACCACGCATATTCTCTCGTCCCTGAGAACGCGCACGCTGAAAACGGCTATTCGACCGCGGTAAATGAACTTCATCGGTTCGACGGCCAAAACTGTAGCTATAATATCGTCAGCGTTGTGCTTTCTTCCCGTGACAGTCATGAGGCCGTCGCGCGATCCACAGACAAACACGAGGCCTCCGGGACCCAGAAAACCCAATAAACCAGAACGCGTGTATTCCACATCGCCAAGCGGACTTCCATCAGCCTGGAGTGGGGATACTTTGAACGTATTGTTCGTCAGTCCCTGTAATCCCCAGTATTGATTTCCAGTGGCTGAACTGTGCACACAGATCTCGCCCACTTCGTCAGTTTTGCATATGAAGGGCTGTCCTTCCATTTTGATCACCACCACGATACCTGTCGAGAACGAGCATTCCCAATCTTATCAACACCGTTTCACATTGAGCGCCCTAACGGAGAAACGTCTAAATAAGAAGACTTACTTCCAGGCATCACTTGGCCGCAGTCCTGAAGCGTGAGGGAAGTGAGAGAATTCTCTTGATCCACTCTGACAACTCCGTAACTCAGTCCGGACATAGACAAGACGCCACGCCCGGTAGCGTTTACTCCAGCACGACCCGGTCGTCTCACAGATACAGTGAGCGCCTCGCTGGACGATGCACAAGGACAGACAGCGTCCGGTCTCAAGCCCTTCGACTGAAATACCGAGAGAAACTGGTCGCAGGAGGAGAGCGACCATGGATTTGCACCGTCAGCCACCAGCAACAGCCTCAACGACGACAGCGAGATATCCTTGTGATCCTTCGTGGCAAGGAGACCCCAGTGGAGGTCTCGCGACTTCACCACGGCTACGCTCGCGCGGTGTTTCGTGATCATTTGCATCCAACTCGCGGGGTTCACTTTCATCAGAGCGTACGGTATGAAGATCACGTGCATCCCATTTAGAACGCTGGTGAGGGTGCTGTGCCACAGACCGACCTCACGTTTGAAGTCCAAAACGCACACCGCGTTCTCCCCTTCCGTGTAGCCGCAGGCTTGCGTCAGAGCTCGACAATGCGCCAACATAGCTGATCTCGTCACCGTTACACCCATCACCGAGCCATCTTTGTCCGTCGTGTACTCGATGTACGCCGGTGTGTCGTCTGTCAATCGAGGCGGTGGCAGCCAATCTTTCGGTGTTTTACCCAAGTGTTCTGTCACGAACCAATGTAGCTTCGGCCACCCTTTGAACGCTACAACTTCGCCAGCTGCGGTCTTTGGCAGGCCTTTCAGGCAAGCTTCGCTGGTCAACGCCACCTGGAAAGAATTTCGAGGTTTGTTTCCTACTTTGCTGCTTTCTATACTCTCGACAAAAGGTTCAGTTGAATTACCTGAATTCCACAGCTACCCAAAAGGAAACCAATCTGCTGGGAGCCGGCATCTCGACGCGTTAGAGGGACCTCGATGGGTACAGGTACAATACCAGCCTGGAGGCAACCGTAGAAGGCGCACATGAAGCTTATCGGGTCGTTGTTCGGATAGACCAGGGCGATTCGATCGCCCGGTTTCAGACAGCAATCGCCGCCACGACTTAGAGCCTTGTTCAACAACGTGTAGGCTATTTTATGGGAACGACTTAGGAGTTTTCCATACGTGAGCGTTACGCATAGCTTGCCGTTTGGATCGAGCACGGTCGCCACTGGCGCCTTGTACGATGCGGAACCATACCTATACGAAACATTTCATACCGAGATCTTGTCATTTAGATAGGAACTTTAACGAGGTTGAACCTTCGTTTGGATTTTAGTCACCTCTGTATAGCGGCCTCGAGAGACCTAGGTAAACCAGCGGCCACGGATGATTGTTCGCCGACCGCGGAGGTCATAGAACCGCCCTCAGGTTTCGGTGCATTCGGATCCTTGGGATTAGCCGCGATCTCGAGCTCGATGTCGTCGTCCTCGTAGAACTCGGGCAGAGGTCGACGTTTCGGCCGTTTCAACGTGTTCAGCAACTGTTGAATCTTCGCGGAGACCTTCCAACGTCCGGTGGTCCCGGTGTTGTTCTGATCCTCGACGACGTGATAACGATTCACTCGATCGGCGCCCGGTCGCCTGGTCGACTGCTGTGCAGCCGGTGTGTTGCTTGTGTGCGTCACGTCCGGAGGCTGGATGTTGCAGTAGGCATGGGGCGTGTATTCCGCGATGTCGGTGATGTCCGCACCAGGAGGTCTCCTGGCTGGTGGTCTTGGGGGTGGAGGCGTGTCTCGCGCCGAACCGGTGCTGCTAGTATCCGACAGTCCTGTGCCTAAAATTCCACCGTCAAATAGCCTCCTCTCTAGCGCGTCCTTTCTCAATGCTTTCAAATATTCAACAAGCTACGCTTAACCCTGCAGTTACACGACTCCTCGACGGAATTTTATTTCGCTATTTAAAAAAATTCGGAAAATCGAGCAAGTTGGAAGAAAAGAAAGGACCAAGTTTCTACTTTACGTTACACGTGAATTTTCTCGTTCCTCCTAGAAACGCAGAGTCTCGAGAAAGAGTCTCGATTGAGAGAGTTAATCGTGTAAACGGCGGGTTAAGCGTGTACAGCGAGCTGGGTCCGAGTATCTCGACAACGGATTCGCATTAACCGTACGGAATCCAAGCGGCTGTTGAATGGAAAAGTCGCATAACCAGTTCCATCATTTGCCGAGTGCAAATAGATAACCGATCGAGCCACGGCGAACCGAAGGAAGAGACGCGTGTGGTGAAATTTATCGGCGCGAAGAACACAAGAAGGCGAAGTAAGGAAAGAGATAGCTAAAGGAAGAAACAATGAGATTCGAATGGTGTATATACCCGTGGGACCACCAGCACCGGGACTTTCCTCGGTGACCACGCTGTCCTCGTCGCTACTCGATTCCCCGCTGTCGCGACGCTCCCGGTCGGGACTTCTGGCCATCACGGACGTTCTTTTCGACGGCATGGGCAACGACGGCTTAGGACGGCCCTGCATCGCCGCCAAAGCTTGCTGCACCGCCTCCTGGCGGACCTCTGCGTGCATTCAGAGTCGGAATGATCAACTGAATATAAACCTCTCAAAACTTCTGGCGCGATATTAACATCGACTGCTTTTTTCTTTTACAGATTTTAGAGGAGACACGCGTATTAAAAGGATCCTGAAACGCTTACATCTTAGCTTAAAATCACAAGTGTGGTAATGCGGCAAAGCCTCTCTATGCATAATTTCTAATACTATGCAATGTGTGTGTTTGTTTGTGTGTGTGTGTGTGTGTTGGTTAAATTCTTGGCAATTTCTCGTTCAGCATAAATACTTCATTTATCTGGAGTTTTTATTTTTTTCCATTTTTCGGTTTGTTCCACGGTGAAGGAATTTTTAGATGAACTTTTAGGGATTGTGAAGTCGAGGTAGCTCTTCACCCGCACGGTAGGCTTCTCTCTTTCTCTCTTGCTTCTTCGTACAGTAATTTATCCCGGAATTTTTCCGGAAAGCAGCGTATCGAATTATCTTATTTCCATCGCTACACGCGTGTGCACTCTCACGTGCAATCGCGCAACGTGCTCCACGTAACAAACCGCGTCCCGACGTTGCACAATGTCGTAATAACGATACAAATATACCTAGACCGGAAATGCAACAACTCGCTGACCGAATCCGCTCGTCTCTATTACGCCTCGCTCTATATTTCGATCGACCTTACGATCGTCCGCAAGCACGTACGTGAAAAAATAAAATTGAAACATCTTGAATATCAGTTTTTTTTTTTTAATTTTTCCAATTTCGAAGTCGTCAAGGTGATCAGAAGAGTGTTCCATGCTAGAAGAGGATACTCATCGAGGAAAAAGGATATAGAGAGCATTCGATTGGCGGATTTCCTCCAGTTCGAGCGTAATCGCGCGCAATGAAATATATGAATATCAATATTTTTAAAATTTTCTAAGGTGACGAGAAGTACGCTCCATGCTGTAAGAGGATACAAATCGAGAGCATTCGACTGGCGGATTTCCTCTAGTTCGAGTGTAACAATAAGTATTTGCGTGCAACCGCGCGCGGACGTTCCTCGGATGGGCAGCGACTTATCTTCGGCACGGCATGTTCGTCCTCTTGGACCGGTAACGGTGCACCAGCTGCGAGATTGCCGAGCTTCGCTCTCTGCCTCTAGATAAATGAAGTTTCTATGCGGACTTTTACGCACGGAGAACCGTTCGGTTTTCGTTCCGTTCCGACGAGCACCGCGCCGACATACCAGCTTTGACCCGTGCTCGTCGACAAAGCTCTCCTTCCATGCCAATATTTTCTGGAAAACCATCGAGAAAGAAGAAGAAACGAGGAAACTTGGAAATCTGTTGTAAACGTCTTTCTTTCCCTTTTCTTTCTCGTTTACCGAACGGTTCCCGTGGTAGAAAGGTTTCCATCCTCGTATCTAGCTGCTACTGGTTTTACGATTTGCTTAAAAGTAATTGCACGCATACGCGTTTCAGACGCAGGAAATGCTTTATCAGAGCCGAGACCACTCGCACCGAAAGCGCATTCCTTGCACTCGTGAAGCATGTTTCCGTGTACCGAGCTAATCGAGCTTAATGCAGCACAATTATTCACACGCAGATTACGAATTTGAAGCGTGTCCAGTGTGTGGAGGATTCTATTATGCCTTTCGAACTCCCGATAATACGTGTACCGGTCGCGGTACCGTTCAATAATGTCTAATTACCACGCGACGTATTCTCGATCAGTTCGTTAAATTGAGGAAATTCGTTTTTCACCAAGCTACACGACCGATTTGCATTTAAACGTTGTACAAGTGGCAAAGAAAGGATGAAAGGCTATTGCTACACGCGCAGCCTGTAATACCAGAGAGAGGGGCTCGCGTAATTCCGGAAAATGGCAGCGCAGGATTTTATTGATTGAGAATCTGTCGCATCTAGTTTCTACGGTTGCTGGATTAACCCTAGCGACGACGGCCTCCTTGCTAATTCTTCCATGAAATTTCAATACTCTCGAGCGGCTCCGCGGAGCTCCGCTCTACGTAGATTACGTAAAAAAAACATCCTCCGTTGAAACAAGAAAAAAAAAAACAGACAAACGGAAAGTAGGTTTCTCTTCTAAAAGTAAGAGATGTTATTAACACGTTCACACACGTTAAGCTTTTTTCTTCAAATTGTTACACATATAATCGAGTTAGAAAATGTCGTGTGAATTATAAAAGGCAGGATGTTACGAAAAGGGCATTGAACGTGTCAATGTCCAACTCCATCTCAGAGCTACGTTAGAAGAGAAAAACGAAAGTTTGCGCACGAAATGTACAAAAGGGACAAATAAAAGAAAAAAAAGAACGAAATTGACAGCGAGACGTGATAAGGAAAAAGAAAAATAAAAAGGGAAGAAAATCGAACGGACGAAGGAAAATAGCGACGAAGTAGGAGGAGGACGAAGAAGAAGCCGGTTTGCGGGCACAGAGCGTAGGATCGGCTCGCGCGGACCGTCTGCGGCCTATAGTTTGAATAAATAAACGGTAATGCATGTAGAACCGCCGTCGTCCGAGGGTTAAGAACCCGTTAACGTTTCTTTTCGTCGCATTGGACCGTTTGATCGTCCAGCTGTGATGTACTCACCGGAATGATAGCGGCTCTCATTGCGCGTGAGTCTGCGATTGCCGCGTCTCGCAGCCGCCGAGTTCGAGTTCCCGGTGTTTCCGGTGGAGCCGCCAGATCCCGGGGGACTGGCGATCCCGCCAGGTACTAGCCGGCCTCCTGCATGCAACACAACAACAACAACGCCACATAGACAAAGAAAGGAGATCTACCAGGATCGACAAGGGTGGCTACGTTTCTCGTTCCTTCTATCTCTGCTCTAGTTTCACTGCTCTCGCCTCTTCTCTACCACCCAGCCCAAAGAAATCTTTCACAATTCTCTATCCAAGCCTCTACTATGCACAAGCAATTCATATTTCCAGTACGAAATACACAACTCCATTCGTCTCTAACGTTACTCTAAAGGTACTCGAGATTTCATCTACAAATTGGACGTGATTGCAACCGGGTGGATCGCGAGAAAAGGGTTAAGCGTGAGTGGAAGAGAATCGTTTCTTTGGCCAGGGTCTAAAAACGGTCGTTCCACCTTCGGAAGCTGCGACGACGATTTCACTTTTATCGATTGTTCGCAGCTCTGCAGTGGCGCAGGGAGGTCAGAAGAGGAGGTGGGCTGTGACGCGATTGAATCACGGCGACGGGACAACTTCCACGTAACCTCAACTCTATCCAGACAATTTCTTTTAAAGACGCTCGGTGGAATGCAACGCGCGACTCGTCGTAACCAACCCAACGGTCCTTCGACGCTTTTATTATCAACAGGATTGCTGGCTGGTTCCATTACCCTACCCTTCTCGCTCCTATCAATCTTTCAACGCTTCAACGTTTCCAATAACCCCGTACCGATCGTAAACTCTCTGTCCAACTTGAAACGTTAATAGCTAATTCCCTGTGGATTGATAAAACGATCGTAGGAACGTTAAAATCTTGCTTTTTTCTCTCTTCTTCTCGACGAATACGTGTAACAGATATTTGATCGAATCATATTCACTTCTAGAGAGAGACTTCAAGCTCCGAGTTACTGTTACGAGAAATTACACAGGCAACTTCTAAGGACCTCCATATCCTGCACCGTTCATTTAACGAGACTCGACAGACGAATATTTTATTATCGTTTTACCGCCCTTCGAATAAATAACACTCGGTTTCCTCTTTTTCACAGGGTTCGTTATTCCCAACGATCACAGCAACGCGGTAGTAGCAAAAGAGGGATTTAACGATCGGAAACTTTTCTCTATTATAATTGATATTCCGTCTCGTCTAGACACTCCTCGTCGACCACCAGTCGTGGTGCGTTCGTTTTTCTTTTTTTCCAAACTAACTGTCGTCGTTTGCAAATCGTCAAGTTTCATCTGAGAGAGAGAGAGAGAAAAAAAGAGAAAAAAACACAAGAGAAACAGAGAAAAAAAAAGGAAACAGAAATATGTACATAAATATAGAAAATATTCCTCGCGTAAGCCATCTTTGTAACGTTATCACGAATTATTTCACCAACATTGTCATCCGTTTCGATACAAGCAAGTATGCGGAAATAGGTCGAATTGTCAGCCACCGTGTTTGCGGGCAGATCCGCGCGCAGTGTGTCGAGATCGGGACGCAAGAATGCCGACGGATGGCCGGCCTGCGATCTCGAGTCACCCGAAGGTGGAACAACCGGTCCCGGCTAAGTCGAATTACAAAGGTATCTAAGGTGTAAAAGCATCTCTGCTCGAATCGGTACGCACGAGGGATTACAAGCAAGCGAGCTACATCAAAGAAAAACATGATAACCATAACCTCTTCAAGCCCTATGCACTTTCGTAATTGTTCAACTGTTCTCTGTCTTTCTGTTATCGTACTTTAAATCGTACATCCCATAAGTTCGTGTCGAATTTTATAATTTAGATCAATATTTTCAAGGAACCCTTAAAATTGAAAAGAAAAAAACCAAAGTGTCTTCTCATTCCACAACTTTTTTTTTTTTTTTTTTTTTTTTTTTTTTTTTTTTTTTTTTTTTTTTTTTTTTTTTTTTTTTTTTTTTTTTTTTTTTTTTTTTTTTTTTTTTTTTTTTTTTTTTTTTTTTTTTTTTTTTTTTTTTTTTTTTTTTTTTTTTTTTTTTTTTTTGTAAGATCATTACGTCGTCCCTATAGAATTTTCGGTATATATATATATACACTATCGGCCAAAAGTTTCGAAGCACCTGACAATTTACATCAATACCGAATCTGCTACTAATTCTTTGTAAACCTGAAATTGATGTTGCACTTGACCTCGTTTCGATTCATTCGAACGACGAAAAGTTCGTTAAAAAATTGCTAACTTTTTTTCAGAAATTTTTCTGTAACTTACAACGAACAGTGATTCCAAACATTTGGCCCGTACTGTACACAGATACTAATTGGAAACGATCGTGGAACAGGTTTAACTTTCAAAATTTTTCGGAAATTCGTTTTACTTCAACAACGACGAGAACAGTTGCCAGAGATAACGTATCCACGGATTTGCACTAGCGATTCGAGGAAACCTCTTTCCCGCTAATTTACACCGATTTAATTAACCGAACGCGATTAATCACGACAGCTTGTTACCAGAGATACGTGTATAATTGTGATCGGTATTCGACGAATTAGAAATTCGTCCATTCCAAGCGAAGCTTTTCTCTGCACGTTACGGTATGAAGGGAATCGAAACGGAACAAACGTTTTGACACGCAAAGTCGGGGAATTACTGTAATCCGCGTAGGATATGAAGAGGTTGTCGAGTCACACGTACATCTCTGTGATCACTACTGATGAGAATGATGGTTTACGTATTACTCAGATTAATATACGGATGAATCGTGAAACGTGAAATGATGATGGCTCGAGCTACGATCTCGATCCCTCCACGATTTCGTTTTAACAATCGCAGAGGGACCGTGAATGAAAAAATCTCCGTTTGGTGAAAATGAAGAAGAAGAAGAATAAGAAGAAAAAAAATAAAGAGGGAACGTGATCGATTCGTGTGTGTGTGTGTGAGGATAGTCGAACGAAACTCTTCTGTTCGATCAACGACGGATGCATTATTAATTCGTTTATTACTGTACATCATGTACCTATCTACGTGCATGGATAATGATCTAAACCGTGCACACTTACAAATCAGACGATCAGTGATCGAATTCACCTCCATATACTATCTACACGTGTCGTTGCACGATACTAATACTTCTTTATGTACAATTGAGTTTATTTTGAAAAAAATCTGACTTCCAGTATACATTTTTTTCTCTTTCGCCTCGTATTCAAGTGCTGCGAATTAGGTAAAAAAAAGAGAAAGAGAGAGAGAGAGAGAGAGAGAAATGCAAGGGGATTACGGTTAATTTAACGATGTTCTTAACGGGAGGATTTTTCTGTGATCACGACGGACCAACACGTTAGTAGAGGGATCGGATTCGCGGAAAAATTCGCCAACGAGTCGTCGAAGCGCAGCCAGTGCCGTGAAGTGCGAAGCCCGAGGGGCCCGCCGCTTAATTAAGACGAGGACCAACGGCATTGCAATTATCCAACGAGTGCTCGACAGCCTGTCAGCTATTCACGGGGTCCCCGTCCGATGCTTACGTTCCTCGTAAATTTCTTTTTCTTTTTTTTTCTTTCTTTCCTTCTCTGCTGCGTATAAAGACAACTCTTTGGAGGATATCGCGCGATTCTTGTACGTCGACGAACCCCTTTTCTCCCCGTCTCCTTTAACCGGGGCGACAATGCCGCTTTACCGAGCCCTCTGCAAATTTATGTCAAAGGGTTTCTTCCTCCGAGCTAACCAGTGAACGACCCGTCGCGTTATATGTGTATATATATTAGAAAAAAAAGAAGCGCACACATGCGAGACGGTGGTAAACAAGAATCGTTACACGTTAAATTAACTTCGCAAAGAGAAAGGAGAGAGAGAGAGAGAGAGAGAGAGAGAGAAGGTGGATGATTCTTCAACTGGAAGTCAGATTTAATTTTCTCATTTTTCTTTTACACGTTTCTTACATACGATTTAATTAAGACACACGCGACAAGTAAATTAGTGACAGGGACAAAAACAAATCGGATTATTATAAACGAGAGTACAAGGAACAAACAAAACTATATATCATGATCATCGAAATGAACGCTAAGAAAGAATGAGAGAAGAAGAAGTATATTATGAAAAGGAAAGAAAAAGCTACGTAGAGAGAGAAACAGTCAAAAATGCACACTGGTCCGATGAGAACGTACAGCAAGATCGTCTAATGAAAAATGATATATTTTTTCCTACCGAAAAAACCACAATCCACACAATGTCAACTATATAGAACAATGTCGCATGTATGTCTCTAAATGGCTAAAACAAAATATGTATGTGTATATATATATATATATATATATGCTGTGGCCGGGCGTAGTAGGTAGATCCCTTAGAGCTAAACTTCTAATGTAATTGTCTAGGCGTGGTGCCAGGAAAGAGAACGAAAAAAAGAGCAAAAAAAAAAACAATAGAAACAAATATACATGTATGGTAAAGTAATTATAAACGTTGAATCGTGCAATACGTCGCGCTACCTGAATGATAGCGCTTCTCGTTGTGCGTGACACGGCGTTGCGTGCGTCGTGCACGTGGCTGTGGTCGGCCACCGACACCGACGCCGACCCCGACGCCAACGCCGACGCCACCACCACCTCCGACACCGACACCACCACCACCGCTTCCATACACCGTTCTCTCCAACCCTCCGATACCGAGGACGCCGACACCTCCTCCATCCTTTCCAGCCCCTGTGTGCCACACACGTGCATATGCAAAAAAGCCACCCTTCTCCAGACTCTTCTCTCTCTCTCTCCTCTCTCCCTCCTCTTCTCTTCTCTTCTCTTCTCTTCCATTCTCTCCTCTCCTCTCCTCTACACTCCTCTCCGCGCGAGTTCCGATTCTCAAACGAGGGGAAACGCCTCGTCACCAGCCTCGTTTTCCACCCTCTATTTTCCCTCTTCACATCTTCTACCCTGGTTATACGCCTAACTATACGACCATGTACACAGACGTGTTTTTTTGCAGTGTGCGTATGTATATCTGGTTCGAGCAGTTTTAATGATTAAAAAATAAAGTGTGGTCAGAGGGTGTGTTGATATCCAGACGGCTAGAAATTTAGCCGGTTTTTTCTTTCTTTTTTTTTTTGAGAATGTGGTTTTCGAAGTTTACGGTCACGGCTTGTTTTCGATTACGATTCCACGGTATCAGAATGGAGGTAATGCTCGCGCGTAAGTCACGCTCCATGGAATTTAATAACGTTCGAGCGAACCGTGACAGTATCGTGACCAACGGTGTAAATCGAGTTTGAATAGTTCACTGCTGCGTATAGTATTTTTCTGGCGGAATGATATCAGATATGTACAAGTCTATCGATACGAGATAGTAGATATTATTAGAAAGGATTTTTTTCTTCTTCTCTATCGATCACTTTCTTCTAATCGTTCACGGAGCTTGAGATTATTGGAGACATTCTTTTTTTTGCGTGTGGAAGAGATTGATATAGTTAGGAGAAGAAGTTTCTATTCTAGGTGGAATAGCGCTGCTCGAATCCGTGAACCTTTGACCTGGTCGTATTGTTAAAAGGTATTGAAAAACGACAATGAAACGTTGTTGTAACCGATGAAGCAGCGAACACAATAGCGTGACAGGATAATCATTGGTTATACGTAATATGTCCTCAGGCAGAAGCTACCTTTTGTTCACGGTTACGTGTTCCTGGGATAGTCGTGAATCAAAAGCGACGATAAATCGTTCGTAGGGGGAAGAACGAACTGGAAATCGAAAATACCTGTTTTCAGACACCTGAACCTCGGGATGTGTTCTTGCTGTTCTCAATCAACTCACGTACGGTATATACGAGTTCATTTTCGATCATTTGTCTTTGTCAATTGAATAACACGTGTAGATGGTACCGTAAATCTTCCGGCGATAATTGAGAATTTCTAACTGTCCTGGACTTCCAAATCGCATTCGCAAATTTTCAAATATTCAAAGTTTCAAATTCCCAAATTTTTAAATCCTCAAGGTCTCAAATTCCCTAATTTTTAAACCCTCAAAGTCTCAAATTCCCTAATTTTTAAACCCTCAAAGTCTCAAATTCCCAAATTTTTAAATCCTCAAAGTCTCAAATTCCCAAGTTTCTAAATCCTCAAAGTCTCAAATCCCCAAGTTTCTAAATCCTCAAAGTCTCAAATCCCCAAGTTTCGTAAATCTTCAAAGTTTTTCAATCCCCAAAGTTTCAAATTTCACAGAATAAACTAATTTCCGGACAGGTGAATCCCCTAACGGTTCAGTTTTCGATTGTTCCATATTCGTACAGCTCGACTATTTTTTCATTCGGCATAACGCAGCGCGAGAAATACGCGTGACGATCATTAGCGAGCTAACAACGCAACTCGCGCCACTCGAATGTATCAGCAATACATTGTATATATCTATATCTATACAAACTTTACACCGTTAGGGGGAATATATCATGCTTCTCGAAGCGATTCTCTACATCTACATCGATGCTGGACTTATTCTATATGACGTCAAGTTACCTGTACCTTACACCTATTCCATCTTAGCAAAATTGAAATTCTACCACGAGATATCCACCATTTTACCAAGAAACCATCGTCAAATTGCTTTCTCTCATTACCAACAATTTGTACCATCCGAATAAGACTATGTAACGAGCTCGAACGCGCGAGAAACTTGCCTCGAACGTGTTTTACCATTGGCACAATGGAACAGGCACGGTTCGAAGGTTCGCGGATAAATGGAATGGAGCAAAGGCAGCGGCGTGCATCGTCGAGATTCTAATCGGGTTAAAAAAAAAAAGAGAGGAAAAAAAGAAAGAAACGTACCGGTAGCAGACGTCTAACGAGTTTCCGCGTGTAGAAAAACCGCTTAGGAAAAGTGGCGAATCGAACGTGACTGTGGACCAACGAGAAAACTCTCTTTAGTCCCGAGTCGCGTACGCGACAATGGCAGATGTGTGTCGCGTATAACGAGCGGATAACGCGGAAGTGACTCTTCCGCATGCAGGTACAGTTAAACACTATGTACACTGCAACCGATTGCAGCTGTTCGACCGATTCCGCGTCTTTCGCACACAGCCTTTTCAACCTTCCTGAGAAAATGCGAAAACTGTTGATACGAGCTTGTACACACTTTCCAAACTCTTCTCTTTTACTTCTAATATCCTCCTAACTCACTCCGACAGAAGGAATCTCCAAGAGTTTCGACCTGCTCCGATAAACGCAAACTTCTTCGTCATAGGCCAAGGTGACGACAGTCCGAAGAACATTGCAGAAGACGAAGCAACTGGGTGGTATCTCGGACGAGGTGAGTTGCGAAAGCGATACGGTGGTTAAATCGACGGAAGAATGTTTGGCACGGCCGGTGAACGAGCACGAAGGGACGGAGAGAGAAAAACCGGTGGAAGGTGACGGATGGAAAACGCTGCGTTCCTCCTTTTATTCCTCTTATTCCCATTACGATTGCATCTGGCGGTATTGTGCACGGAAAGCAGCGTGTGTCTCTTGAGAATCGGAACGCGATTAATATTACCAACGAGCAGAATGAGAGACAGAGACTGGTTGCGTCTGGATGTGGCGCAATAGGCGCGCGCGAGATTATCGCGCGTGCTATAACACGGACCACGAGGACGAGAAGCTTTCGACTACTGTAACGCAAAACGCAACAGAGACCAACCGCGTTACAACGGGAAGACGAAAAAATTTGCTTTATTCGAAAGCAACAACGTCGACGTGAGGTGTTCAAGAAAAATGTCTCTCTCAGAAGAGAGAAAACGATCGATACGACGCACTTTGACTTTTTCTTTCCAAACGTCCATCATTCCTCCTCTCCGTAGGTCATCAATATTTTATCGACATAAAACGCATCTTCCAAGTGTAAAATCGTAGATCCACGGTTCATTGATGAGCCACGTAGCAAGAAACGTCCTCAGGCGAGAGAGAATCGAATGGTCGGTTAAACGAGTCGATAAACGCGTCGGACGATAAATCACTGGTAGTTGCTCCGGGTAAAAATAAAATAGCAGGGGGAACGCGAGAACTGTAAGGAAAGAGCGCGGAAGTGGCCGTGTGTACAGAGTGGAGAAAAGAACGACGCCCGGGTGTTGCGATTCCGTCGCGAGCTTCTCGTCCGCGCGCTGTCTGCTGTTTCGCTAAGAATGAAATGACGATGAGCACAACTCGTTATTCGCTAACTTTTTTCCTTGCGAGCAAAACAAATGTCCGACTCACCCAGCTGCTTCGAGGCATACTGCTGTAGTAGACGTGTCCGTTTCTTCTCGTAGCCCTTTTGCGTAATGTCCCCTGGAAATCAGAAGAAATCGGCAACGATTAGAAAATACCGTCGCAACCTTGCGACAAACTTATGTTTTGTTCGGTGGTGAACGGGCACGCGTCTGGCATTCCTCGGCAATTACCGATCGCGCCTGTTCTCGAAAATAGGTAAATAAGGGGATGGAAGATTGCGAGGCATGCCCTCGGACGAGTGGCTAAATAAGAGAGATCAATTTCTCAATGCTCGTTCCATCGACACCGAAAAAGGACGCGTGGTCTTTCGATAGCTCCTCTCGCGATCGATCTCGTTCCTTCGGGGTAATTTCTTCGTGACACGAAACCCGTGGAATTTCGAGGACGATCGGTGAAGGAGAGCGCATACGCGCCTAGCTCTTCTGAAACACCTGGCCTCCTGAAAGTGACCTCGCCAAATCTGGGGGACCGATGAAATTTACCGAGAAAAGGAATTCCCAAGGCGCTTCGAATACGCAAATTTCACAGACCTGTTCTAGAACCACGTTCTTTAGTTCGCGGGGTGCCCCTTTAACGATGCAACCTTAACGATATTCTAGGTTAATCACTCGAGTCAGGAGAGTGCTTAAATGGTCGCTTCAATTTTACAATCTAATCGACCGTTTCACAGTTGCTCGGACCAATTGTCATTGGCGCTAATAAAAACGTTTAACTCGAGGAGTGTGTTCGGGTTCAAATCTATCGAAATACGAATGTACGTAGGAACGGCAGCGGTATGGCGCCAGTAAAGTGTGGTTCACCAAGCAACGTGTTCCAGCGACGCGATGATCGATTTCGCAATAAAGAAGCCAGCCAAACGGGTTTTTCGTTCGCGAAATTCTAGAAAGGGTATGCATTGTAAATTTCTACGTCGCAACAAGCTTGCCCACGTGTCTCGCGCGTCTCGCGATGCGAAACGAGTTGGCATGCTGGCGTCACGCCTCGTAACTCGGGAAAATGCCTAGAATCGATCGGCTAACGGCCGAGACACGATTTTTCCAGGTGCGAGCATCGGCACACACAACGAAACTAGGTCATACAACATTATCGCTGAATTTATTTCAACGATTCCCGCGTCTCCGCCGTCCAACGTATTTCCCTGCATACTTGTCACATTCGTTGACAACTGGAAGGAGAAGAAACCCTACCTACACCGATTATTGTCCATCTGTGAGAGAATCACTTTCTCCCAATTCTAATTGCACCAACTTTTCCACGAATTACATAACAAGTCTCCGCTACTCAACGACATTCTTACACACGAAATGAAAACTGTTCGAACAATAACCTACGATCGCACCTAAACAAGGGAAATGGCTCAATTGTTCTCCAAGCACACTGGCGCCGAAATATGTAAAACAATCCGAGTCGTGGATTTCGCTTTTGTCTATTCTACCTAACCCGCGAATCGTAACCAATTATATCGACAGATGGATCAATTTCCTAGTTTCCCGACTGAACCTGCTCTTTCTCCAAATCGTCGGATAAATTCTCATCGTGAAATCCAAAATAGATGGACTTTTCAGCATCCTTCGATCCCCAATCCACGCGACGATTGCCCCAAAGTTTGGAAGTTTATCGGGAAGGTAATTGGTCCAGAGAACGATTGAAGTCTCTGGCACGACGAAGGAGAGCGATCTGGTAGCGGAGGAGCGTTTCACGCGAGCCAGAGGACGTTGGACGTTCGAGCTAGTTAAAATTATCGGTACGCGGATCGACCGATCCTTCGGGCAAAGTGCATATTGCGCGCGGCAGACCTACGAACGCGAACACGTCCAAGGGAATTATTGCACGCGGACCAAGAATTTCTCTGCTGGGGATGATCCTGTTCCTATTAAACGTCTACCTAATTTTTCGATACTCCATCTGACGGATAATTGTACGTACCGTTTCGAACCCAAGGCAAAAGTGCGTTTCCAAAAATGTATTTATCCCTGAATCTTTCACCTACTCCCTTGGGCACAGTCAATTAATCGCGGAACGAACTAGAAGCACGCGAAACAATGCGATTTCAACGTTCGCGGTAACAATAGCGCCATTTTTTTTTTTTCTCCTTTTTTCACTGGAACAAGAACAGTGGCGTATATGGGCAGAGAGCAATCAGGAGTCGATAGGCTGTTGCGTCCGAGAGGCATAAAGAAAGAAATCGAAGGGAGGCGGCGATTAGTCGGACGTACGTGCACGGCTTCGAATCGAGTTCAGCTCTGGCAAAAACCGCAATGAAACCAAACTCGGCGAATCTGTTACGTAATTAACGTCGATCACGTGGAGTAGCAGACGAAAAGGAGACAGACGGTAGATTCACGACTGTTAATCGTAACGAGACTGACACGGCGGTTCTAGCCCAACGATCGAACACCTGACTCCGGTTGCACTTAGCCTAGCTGATTTCGATCCTCGTTACACAGCCGAGGAGGAAACGAGCTTGTGCCAATTCCTAGTGTACGTAAAACGTTGTTTTTCACACGAAATCCCACGAGCGTCGCTGGTATGTCAACGAAATCACACACGAGGAAGGAATAAAAAGATCGCGATATTTCTCAGGAGGAATTCCTAGGCGTGTAAAAACGTAATTGCACGGATCGAAGGCACGTAGTAACGTAGGCTGTGAACGGATCGTGCGAATCTAAAGATCGACAGATAATAACCGAGGTATTTGACTGGTTCGATTCTTACTCGGTCTTTTCCTCAAGGACGAGCACTTTCGCACGAGAAATACCGGCTGGCCGGAAGCCTTTCGAAGCTGAGATTTTCGCCTGAGAGGCCTCCTTCTCAGGCCCGACCTTTGCCTCTTCAAATGTTGCTGTTGCCTGTGTATCGCGTGAGAGCTCTTCCTACGCTCGAGACCGAGATCGCTAGGCTCTCCCTCGGTATCGCTGCTATCTGTGGACGACAGACACCTGTAATACATGGACGTGTCCGTGGTGGTCCTCGTGCTCTTCTCTTTGCCGATTAAGTTGCTCGATCCCTTGGACAGAAAGCTGAGGAACTGGTTGCTAGCGAAGTAGTTGGAAGTGATCGGTCTCCATGTGGTTCTCCGTGCTAGAACGCCGCTGCTCCGTAGCTCCTCCGAGAACAACTTGTCTTCGTTGAAGTCGCTGATCTTCGGAGCCCTGCAAGCTGACGACGAAGAGGACGTGGCTGAGAACGAGCCCAGCGACGAAGAGACCAACGAGTTCAATCCACCTTCTCGTCTGTCGTTGAAATCGCCGGAGAGCAACAGCTTCAAGTCGTCGAATTGGTCGTCGGACAGATTCGACGACCAATCGTCGATCCTCTCTATCATCGGGATCTCGCTCTCGGGAAAGTATCTAATCTCGCGCCACACTCGCCTCTGACGTCTCGAACGGCGTCTCTCCGGCGGTACGAACCACACGGGACTGTTCGATCGCACCGGCTGAGGTTTCTTCGTCCTTTGAGATGTTCGCCGTCCACGACGTCTCGAACTGGACCGCCTCGAGGCGTTCGTTCGCTTGAAGTAGCCCTCGGCGCTCACGCTGGGCGACGGTTTGTTCGATCGCCGGTTAAAGAAACCGTTCCTGGTACCCCTGAAGTCATTATCTAATTCACGTCTATGCTCTTTTCAAACTTCCTTCGATCGATGAAATTGACGAAACTTGTTTAATGAAAAACATTACAGCGGTATATCGTGTGCGTGCGTACATTTTAATATCTGAATAAATACGCGAAAGCCGGAGATAATTTCAATAAAAGAATTACCATACTTTATTCGAAAGCTGTCTTCTACTATTCGTGAAACTTACTCGAGCATTTTTTTCCAAACTTTCTAACATAGGATTTTCATGGAAATTTACTACTTTCACGTCCCGCAATTTCATCGTCGACGAGAGCCAATTAACTAAACGAGTGATAGTAACCCTGCACGAAAATCGGCAAGCTTGCCGATTCGCAGAGAGAATCCGAACGCGGACGATCCGTCCTTCCCTGCGATGCTCTTCTCCGGCGCCGATACCGTCCTCGCCACCGTTGGTTGAGGTTTCCTCTCCTTTAGAGCACTGTCCAAAGAATGATGAACGGATGGTCCTGAGGACGAAGGAAAAGGCATGGGTACCGCGTCCCTCCATATTCTACCAAGGCTGATGCTAACGCTGGGAGGTCCCTCTACGAAAGGTTCCTGAACCTGAAGAATATCCTGCTGATTGTTCTTCTCTTGAATCGTCTCGCTCGAAGCTCTAAATGGTTTCGACGGTAAAACAGGCGAGGCATCCAACTCGAGCACCTTCAAGTCTTCAGCCACGTGGTCAGGCTCGTTTTGCTTCGGAAACTTGCAAATCTTGTTCTTTCCAGGAGTCTGCTGTTTGTTCTGTTTATTTTGTTGCTGTTCTCGATGCACCTCGTCCAGTTTCTCGCGAGACGAGGAGCTAACACCTTGCAACCATTCGTCGTAGCTGATCGATTCCCGACTCAACGTATCGTCCTCAAGTTTTTTCCATTTTTGCTGTTGCTGTTCTTTCGATATACTCTGCTTTTCGAGAGGCTTTTCGTTCAAGTTGGAGTCGATGGTAGGCGTCGCGTTGCCAGGCTCCAAGTTCTTCTGAAGCTTGTTACGTCGTTTGCCCCGGTCCAGGTAACTTTTTCTTATCGATATCCTTTTGAAGGACTCGCTGCGCTTGAAGGACGGCTCGTTACGGTCCTTCTTGCGACCGACGAGCCTCCTCAGGTTCTCGAAGGACAGCGGCCTCATCAGTTCGGCCCTTCGACGGACGACTCGACGCTCAAACGATCATCCTGCGTTTCATTGTCAGACTTCTCCTTTCGCCTTTCGCCGTCTTCGAGACTTTTTCTTCGAGTACCGCGATCTCATGTGTACCTACTAGCCTCCAGGATTTTATTTTACACCTTCCCTCCCCGCTAGAGTATACACTCTCTCGCCGAACAATTTCACCGTTCCAGCGTAGAAAAGAAAATCTAAGCAAAAAAGTATCTCCTCAAGTTCTCTCTCTCTCTCTCTCTCTCTCTCTCTCTCTCTCTCGTAGGCGAATATTCCTCGCGCGAAACGAAGGGCTCGTTTTGGTCCTTCTCAGCCAACAACCACGCGTCCTCCTCGAGTCCTTCCAGCCACAACCAACCAGAGAGAGACAGGTAGACAGAGAGAGAGTAAGAGGGCTTCACTGGTTCCACAAGCGTCTCTCTTTCTCTCTCTCTCTCTCTCTCGCATCTGTATCGGCTCTCCTCGTTCGTCTCTCCGTTGCTTGCTCCGGCGAACGTGCACGCTTGCGCGTTTCTGCTGATCTTAAGGTGCAACTCCGAGGTCTTCCAGTCGCGAATCAGCGTGGCTTTCCTTTTTCGATGTGCCTCCTCGTTCCTCCTTCCTCTTCATCACCCTTCCCCGCTGTCTCCCTTTTCGCAGTTTACCCTCCGCGCGGCCAGGATCCCTCGGCAAAAACCGATTCGGCACTCGCGGCCGGCATGGAAAATAATACTCGAACCACGGATTAATTCGTTGGCAACGCGCCGGTTTACAGCCCAACCATTTTCCTGCCGCGTTCTGCCTCGAGGAAATTATGCTCCGATAGCGGTAACCGCGGCACAGCTGCGATTAATATCGCGAATCAAACAGGAACTCGCTCGGAAGAAAGAAGAAGAAAAAGATTCCTCTATTTCGACGTCCTTCGCCTTCTTTTCACCGTCGACAACACTGATACCGTTCTCCATATACGCGCCTCATCCGAAAGCATCTAGAATCGTTGAAAAGATGCTCGACGATACTTTCTCCGCCCTCCAACGATTACGACACCACTGATTTCACCCTTTTCTCCTCTACACACGGCAACGTATATATTTATTATTTCTCGTACAAGAGAAACTTGGCTCCGATAATCATCACCGATCCTTTATCCACTGGATTCGAATTTCATGGAAATTCAAACTTCTCTCACTCTTCTCTTTTCAACATTCACCAGGATGGTAACGACAATTCCAGCACAAAAGTATCACGTCTACGTTAGCACATGTGGTTCTTCAATTTCGATTAGTTAGCAGGCCGTGTCAACGATTATATCACGAATTTCGCGGTACGCGATTTCCGCTGAAACGTTCGATCACGTTCACACATCGGTTTCGAGACACGTCACTCGGACGAACAGGCTGCTATCGTTTCTGATAAAAAGAGAACCAAGACCACGGTGTTCCTCCTAGTCTCTTTTTTCCAGCAAAGACGCCAAGGACTACTAGCTACTGGAGACGTCGCGATTCCATTCTTTTTTCAACGTGACGCGAAAAATTCGAAAGAATATCGCGCAACAGAGGTGAAAGACGATTTCGAATTGAAACTTGGATACGCCAACGCGTTAGATCCCGATAGAGACCTACCAGAGTCGCGGAGCCGTACAACAGTCTCGTGTGTTGGACGAGTTTTGAATAAAAGGGAGACCTCGACCGTATAAGAAATTTACGCTCCGCGACAGTACCAGTTTCTCTCTCGGTTTAGAGCTCGCTGGCTTTTTCTTCGGCAGGACAGCTCGCCGGTTAAGGGAGTAAGGTCAGCCCTACGGAACCACGGAAAACCAAGTCGCCTCTTTCTCTCTCCCCTCCACTCTCTCTCTCTCTCTCTCTCTCGCCCACCACACAGGCTATTTCACAAGTTTTCCTTCCCTCGACCGGCTTTTTTTTACGACACTTCGCCGACAGCGATAAGAAACGAGATAGTTGCGGAATTCGTTCTATACACCGATTGCCTGGATCGTGCGAGTCCGAGACTCGAGCATTGGGAAAGCAATAAAGAATCGGTCCTCGAGGTAACGTAACCAGCGTTTACGAGTATGTACGTGCTTTTCGAACGTCCTCGAAACACACGCCACCGATTCTACTAATTTACTACGTGTCTAAGACGGACGTAAACACCGCGAGGCTCGAATGAAATATGGAAGGCGACGAAGAAATCCGTTACGAAACCTTGTTACGATAATAACAAACGATATCGCAATGCTACCAAAAGTACTAACTAACAACAATGAGAAAAAAAGAAAAAAATGATAGCTAAGAATGAAACAGCACCGGTAACATCGGTGAAAGGAGAGTGGGAAAAGTAGAAGTGAATAGAAGAAGAAAAAAAGTGGAGCAAGAATAGTAATAGCGGCAGAGCAGTAGTACAAGCAAGGGTAGTATCAGCATGGCACAAGTAGCAGCGACGATAGCAGCCGTGTGGGTCTGTGTGTGTGTGTGTGTAGGGTGTCGGGACGTACTCGAGGCGCGGGGCGTCGCGACGCGGGTCCACCCTTATCGCGGAGGGCAGAGGAACGAGCATCGGAGAGAAGCACCGGTGGTCCCCTCGTCTCGCGAGGAGAAAAACTCTCGTAGTGCGCGTAGTCGAAGTCGCGTCGAATCACTGGCATTTCGCGAGCTCTCGACGCTGCACCTCTCCCTGACTCACGACGAGAACCGCCACACGGACCCGGAGAAAGAGAAAGAGAGAGGGATCGAGAGAGCGGCGAAGGGAGGCGAGTGCGGGAGAGGGAGGAAGAAAGAGAAAGAGAGACGAGAGGACTGGGAAGCGGGCCCCCGTGAATAAAAGTCACGCCGGTAGAGCGAGACGGAGTGATCGAGGGAAAGAACCGAGAGAGGGGCAGAGAGCGGTAGTGGTGGTATGCCGTCCGTCCACTCTCGCCTGCTCTCTTGCTTTTGCTTCTCTCGCAGCATCCCACTCTCATGCTCCAGCCTTTTCTCGCATTTCTCCCTTCGCCTCTCCCTCTTTCTTTCTCTTTATATCCCTCCTCGCCCTGCACCGCCGCACTCTCCTCAAGACAATCTTTCTCGTTTTCTCAGCCCTTTCCCTTCTCTCGCGTACGCTCGGCTCGCGTGTTCCGAGACTCGATGCTTTTCTTTCTCATTTTCATGTTACACGCTGATCCGGCTGTCTCTCTCTTTTCTACCTCCACCCATGCGCGCGCCTTTTCTTAAGGCGGACTCGCAAAGATCGTGAATCGGATAGAGAATCCTCTAGCGATGCGAATGATGCCCTCGCAAGCGGTATCACGGATTTTTCTCGATACCACCTATACGAGGAGTATGTACGTACACGTTCGTTGTCGAGCGTAGGAACGTGTCCGGATCGAATGCGTTCGATTCGTGGCCGACACATCGGATACGTTTCTCTAGTGGAAAAATCTTCCTGCAATTATACTCGATTACTCGAAAATCCGTTCGTTCACAAGTGAAATTTTCCGCGGTAACTAGAGTTGGAACATTGTACAAGCTGATGCACGATATTCAATACAGCATCTAACGCGTCTGCACGGCAGGTGAGAAAGTACGGTGAAGTTGAGGCCCAACGTTTAGACACGATCATTACGTTCTTACGTCGTCGTGAAGATCGTCGAGGAGTAAGAAGCCGTTGCTCGCCGCTATATTTCAAGTACATCTGACGTCGTAAACCCTGTACGTTCTTTAACAGACTTCTTTACGAGTACCTTAACCTTCACGAGGGAATAATTGTAGGCAAACGAAGGATCCAATTATTTCTACCAGAATTTCCACTTGGAAGAAACGAGACTGAATGCGAAAATCGTGAAAGAAGAAGTAAGATTTCGAGGGGAAAAAGAGGCGATAACCGTAAAAGCATTCGATCGGAATCGAAGCGCGGTCCTTACGGAGAGAACGCAAGCAACGGGCGTAACATCGATGTTCGTTTTACGACGAAAAAAGCTTCAAATTGACGGGTTGATTGCTCCGTGCTCTCCGACCTCTCGCTCCCCGCCGCCTAGCAGCGGCCCTTAACTACCAGAGATCCAAGAGCATCGCCGTGCGTTCGTACTTTCCACGAATACAACTCGAGAACGCCCACGCTCGATCGTCCCGTGCAAGTAGCACGAAATCGACAACGGAGCCTCCTCTCGTAGAAAGCATAGAAATCCTTAAATAAAACTTTGTCGAGTCCTCCGGCGATTTGAATTTCTGGAATTCACGGACCGTCTGCGACGTTCGAACCACGGATTCTCGATCGAGACCTCGAGGAACAATGATAAATCGACGTGACATAAGGCTGTGGCCAAACAGACCACGAAATTACACCGATATTTTTATCTCGACGAGCTACCGCACGCTTATCGCGACAGATAACGTAATATCGCCGTTAGAAACCAATTTTTCGGGATATTACAACAAGCCTTTCCGGTTATCGCGCGGTAATTGATTGAAACTCTACGCGTCACGATTTATTTATTAACAGTGGACGAAGGACAGAGGGTGGAATTATCGTTTAACCTTTCGAAGTGAGGTCATAAAATTGAAAAGACTCTCAGAAGTCGTCTTTAACCGAGTGGAGATGCTTTGGAGAAGAGCGGCCAGAGACGTTTGGCGTGTACGAGGAGGAAAGAAACGGAAAGTCGAGCAGAATCGATAACCGATGATCCTAGGAGAGGTTCGGGCGATCGATAAGAACGACACGTCGGACACGAAGCGTTCTATCGTGCATCGGTATCGTGGAAAGGTGCGGAGGAGGGATATAATAGCCGATAAGCAGCGCGATCTCGCCGTGGCGCGTATGCAACGTGCAAGCAAGCCACTCAAGGCGACTCGAGGACGTTTACCCACGAAACCGACGACCTTGATCTTACAAACGGTCCACGAACGAGCTGCGACAGCAGCTGCACCAACACCGATGGATGCATTCCGCCGGAGTGCAACTGCACCTGCGCCACCTAACCATCATCTCGGTGCCGGATAATTCCTTCGAGAGACCGATTT